GCATTGGCTGGTGTCAATCAATGGCCGCCGGTGGCGACACTCGGCCTCAGCCAGCCCCAGCTGCCGAGGCCGCGGTCCGCGATCCAGCCTACAATAATAGAGATCAGTGATAACGGCCCCAGCAACGGTTTGTTTGGTGCGGAGCACCGTGTTGAGACGTCTTCACTTACCAGTGGCGGATCCAAGGGGGGGGGGGGGCGGTAGGGGCGATCGCCCCCCCCCCCCCCCAAACGCCTCGCCAGGCAACCCCCCCCCCCCCCCGGGGTTCTTCGTCAGCTCGAAGAAAAAACGTAAGCAATCGACGCGAGAAACAAAAGATTAAAACAGCGGTGGGTGGACGCGCCTGCTGGGCGCTTCCAAAGTGGGGTTTATCTCCGTCAAGGTCACGATACGTCTTCCCGACAGGGACGGCGCCAGGAGTTTCGAAGTGGAGAGACAGTGGGGAGGCGGACCAAATATCAGGGTCCTCGACTGCAGGCACACTTCCAAACAAAACCAGCACATCGAGCACGGGGGGAAAATACCTTCAACATATCTAGTCCCCTTTCTCTCTCTCTCTCTCTCTGCCTCCCTCTCTCTCTCTCTCTTTGGGGGTTGTCTTCGAAAAATTTGTGCCCTGAAAGCTCCCAAACGCAGACGTCAAGCAGCCTTCCTCAAGGGTAGCGGATTATCCTTCCTCTCTAGCGGCCGCCTTTTCATCACTTTTCGTTTGATGGTTTCTTCGTGGTTCTGGGCTTGTCTTTTGGCATGTCTTTTTTGGCTTGCTTTGAGATACTGTCGCCCACAGGCTCACTAAAGGTATCTTATTGGCACGGTGTGCTCTTTGCCAAGGGAAGTGCGGAGGGGACGTACCGGGAGGAGACGTTCCTGGGGGGGGGGGGGGGGGGGGGGATGCAGCTTGTACAACCAGGTGACCAATTGCTTTTCTTCTGAACTGAGAGAGGAAGCAAATGCTCTGGGTACAGTGTAGTCTGGGTCTGAGCTTCTCCTGAAGACGCTCCGGACTTCCCCACGACCTTGGCTTAAACATAAGCCCGCTTTCGTCCTCGCCTCCATTCCTCACTGAGGATCAGCGCCGCAGCGCGGAATACAGAAAGAAGCCGACGAGCGCCAGAAGGGGGAGATGTTTCCTCTAATGGGCTTCATACTGCCTGCGGTACGACTTCTCGTGGCGGGAAGCTAATAAAAGAAAGATAAGCGATACGAGCACTCTAAAAACTGGAGGCTGCTTACACAGGGTCCACAAACCGACGCCGTAGGCATTTATTTGTATACAATGCCGTTTCAACTTAGGGTGGCGGGACATATTTTAGGAAAGGCGCCCGCTACCGATTGTCTCCCCTTGGCGCCGTCTTTTCCAGTTATACGCGGCTTCTGTGGATTGACGGCAGAGCTTTCGCGCGGCTTTGCAGGAGCGAATATGTGTGTGTCGAACGGACTTGGGGAAAACGAGCCCTTTCAAAGATGCGGCTATACATAAATTAAATAGACAGTGCCTGTGCCCGTTCGAGTGAACACCGACTCCCAAACATCCATGCTGCAGCCGTGATCGGCCTTTAGCCCAGTTGAGATTCGCCGACCCTACAACCGCTCTGCCCTATCATATCTCTGCACCTGTCCTCTCGACCCTTACGAATGAGCTAACTACCCAGAAACAAGTAAGTGTTCCTTTGATACAGAAAATATCCAGACGAAGTGCAATTGAATATAATTTGGAAGGATCCATTGCTGGTTTAAGGTCTTGTCTAAGTTCAAAAGTTATAGTTGCCGAACTGCAACATGCTTTCAAAAATATTCAACAATTATTCGCTTTCGTTCTCTCGAGTTGCATCCAGAACACGTGAAAACACGAGTTTGGGTTGGCAATGCCGCATGTGCTGCGCTCTGGACATTCCAAATATACGGCGAACAACCGACGAACTTGCCTGGCAGCGTTCGTTTCGCTCGCTGCGTCAACAGTGTTTTGACGCCGCGAGCAGCGTCGAAGCCGCCGGGCCATTTTTGTCGCTTGTTTGCAACGTACTCGCTCCGCTGATTTAAGCCGCTCTTCCCGTTGCCGCAGCAGTTCAGCACTAGCTCCAACCAGAATGTCTGCCTAGGCAATGTCTTTAAGCTGCCCTAAATCGACTGCTCAAGTAGTGTCGCTCCGAAACCCAAGTTTCTGAAAGGATAGTGTCACCGCAATTTTCGAGATACTTACTTCTAGCGTGGTCACCCGAAAGGTTTTAATTCAAAGAGTTCATCCCCGACAGGTAAACAGATACAAAAGCTCTCAAGATCTATATTATGTTATCAGAGTTTAGTAAAAACGATAACTCCACAAAAAATATAAACAATCCCCCCCCCCCCCCCCCCCCGCCGTTTTACACCGAGGAACCGCCCCCCCTAAAATGGAGGTCTGGATCCGCCCCTGTCACTTACAGGGTCTGAACACCACTGATCACAGGAGGCGTTGCGTGTTGCTAGAACGTTTAGAGCTTATAGCGAGTTCGTTTCACACGCACTGGCACCGTTCGGGTTCTCTCCCAGAATGCATCGCACTCACAGAGTGTTGCACGGAAAACTGGACTCAAACGAACTCGCCAAATGCACCGAGTGCAGAAGACTGATGCTGCCGCCATCTATCTTGCAGAAAAGGTACCGACTTCGAACCGAAACTAGCGCCTTTCCGTTCGGAGTGATGCGTAGGACTGCGAGAATGCAGTCGCTACCAACGTTTATCTACAAATGACTTCAAGCAGCTCGGCTGCCGTAGAGATAGTTACAGACGGCGTAAATTTCCGCAACCAGCTGCCTACAAAGCAGCTGGTTGCGATCTTTCAATTCGTATTACCGTTTACACTGGAAATAACTGATGATGCTGTCCGAGCAGAAGCTTGATCCGTTTTGGGCATGGTATTATGCGGGAACCACTGAAAGGGCACGGCTCAAAACTAGACTGTTGGAATATCCAGCAAAACTGGGACTTTCGATTTGGATCGTCATTATAGGTGGATTAGATATTAGCCTTGGTGAGGGCGTCGAGAACAAGAAGGTTAGAAGTACTAGGAGGGGGCACGTTGCAATATTGGTGAAGCCTAGTCATAAAAAGTTTAAACGATTTTGTGCCCAGCGTGACCGCAGATCTCTCTGCCGACTGGTGCGCGTGACATGTCACGTGTGAGATGGATGGTTGATTGTAGAAGGACGCCTTGCAGGCTTCCGCGCACTCCGTCCGGTAGGTTCTATCAGATCGAAGTCTAGACTGTGGTGTATTCTAGTACCCCATAGCAAGACGAAGGCTAGCTACGGTCACGTGATGTGGTCACGTTGGCATGGTAAGTGAGGAGAGTAAGGTGGAAAATGAGAAAGAGGCGAGGCGTCAAGGGAGCATGGCTTGTGGAGGCTACGCGGCCGACGTCATGCCCTCTCCTACCCTTCTATTCTCCATGGTCGAGAACGAGAGCTTTCTCGAACAAAATACGACGGCACAAGTTAGCTGACGTAGGTAAATGTTAAACATGATGATGTTGCCCAATCCTCGGGTAAAGTCACCATCTGTAGCTTTCTCTGATGCTTATTGGGCAGTCGGAGGTTTCTGCTGGGGGAGTTTTGTCGACAAATGTTAAATTTTTCACCCACACACAGATGGTGATGGTCATCTCGGGGGCCGCTGTTGCGTTTGTTCTGAGCATTTCTTTACACACTCGTACATTTCAGCGTTTGTACGGCAACAGAGCGGTTTAAAACCTGCAAATAAATCACGGGTTGTCAATTGCTTCCTTCGTGAAATAGCAGACGCTCACAATTCAAGCTCGCGTTTGATTTTGTTGCCCGCGGGACGCGATTTCTATCAGAAAATCTACTTTTTTTTTTTTTTTTTTCCTTTCGGTTCCGCGACACGTCGTAGCAGACGAACCCTCGTCGTCTGCTCCCGCTCCGCCCGCTCCTCACCGGCCCCGCCGGAGAGAGGCATGACGGGATTGCATTTTGGCGCACTCCCGATTTTCTCGGTGCAGCGCGTGCATGCACGCGTGGGGTGTCAGCGCTGTAACAAACTCGGAGAGTGCAACCGCTCGTGGAGTGCCGGCCGAAACGAACCCGTTCCACGCTGCGGGGAGTGCGGTGAGCGCTTGTAATTTAAAGGCGGACGCCTTTTATTCCGTATTTTTGGGGTTTATTTCCCCTTGAATTCGGGGGTGAAATCACCGTTCACGGTGTGTTATATTGAAAAAAAAAAAAAAAAAAGACACGGCGGTAGGATTTCTGAAGATACAGGACGAAAATGCGTGCCGAAGCAAACGCAGACCACACCGATTCGAATGTCGAGCACAAACCGCGCAAACAGCGCTAAAGCAGACGACGCTAATCCCGTCAGACAATGATGATGATGTTGGACCCTAGTGGATAGATGGATGGATGAATACGGCTGAGCCCTTTGGATCGGGCGGTAGCTTACGCCACCTAGCCATTTTGTTTTACCATTTCAAGTGGGCTCATTTTCGTCTTCTGCGCATGAGAAAGGAGACGCGAAGGCGGGAGAGGAGGTTGATGACGATTCGGGCTAAGCTCCGCCCTCGCACATGTCGGGGAGACCGGGGGGTAAACAAACATCGGCGTCGGCCATGGCGGCCGTGCTGTAGCGGCGACCGCGAGTCTTTTGTTTATTGTAGCCCGGTTAAAATTTGCCGAGTCCACAAGATCGAGCAGCTTTGTGCCCCTTACGATTCCTCCGTCGTCTGCTAGAAGCATTTCGAAGATTCCAAGATGAAGACGACGAAGAGCATCAAAAGAAGGCGCTTGCCTAGCCTCGCGATTGAAACGCCGGTTGCGCCGGTCACTGCGAGACCGCCGCCCGATTGTACCGATAAGTTGCCTTTTATCTTGTTCTTCCTTTACGAACACAACAGATTTTGCCTTCTAGCAGGTCTTTAGAAATCTTGTGTGGCGGAGTCGATAGGCGCTATTAATCGAAAAACAGCCGAGAATGTGGTGTTTTCGCGATCCTCCGAAGCCCATTTTCGCAGGTGATATTTAGGAATTTCGACTCGAAACTGCACGGAGGCCGTATAAACTATGTTCCGTTTCATTTTAAATGCAATCGAAGTTAAATCTACATGGGCGAGTCCCGAGCTTTGATCATAGCTGCCATGTGCGATCTTGCAGTGCGTTCTCGCGTTTGTAATTTTCTCTTCGTTCGCACTTAGATGAGACGCAGTATAGTCATACATCGTATTTGGTATAGTAGTTTCAGTCTACGGTTGTAATCATGGCACTGTAGAAAAGCACAGAGCTCAAAACTTACCACAAAAACGCGATCGTTTTTTTTTTTAACGGGATCGTTTTTTGTTTTTTTTTTTCTTTCAGGAATGAAGTTGGAATGGCTGTTACGTGTAATACAGTGAACCAACTCGGACAGTACAAATTTGCCGTTTCACATTACCCACTATGAGTGAATTGCCAACGAAGTACCGATGCCGCCTTTCTGCAAAATGTGTTGCGCAGTGTATCTTCAAACCACATCGACGCTGTCAGTGTCTGACGTGTTTTTGTGTGTCGCTTGTCTCCTTTATCGTTCCCTTACCAAGATGAAAATTCGGATATCGTGCACTATCCAAGCCTAGCTAATGAGCGCCCCATGGAATTGACACGGGAGTAAACAATGGCTAACATGTACATATTTTTGTTTTGTTCGCTCAGCAGACTGGGACTGAGTGTGTAAGTGATAAACTTTCTAATATCATTTGTCATTTCTAGGTCCCAGATGGGCTGTTGACATCCAGAAACACTCCAACAGATGGTGGTCATACAGCGATTGTGAAGAATGTGAAGACAGTCCCATTTGGATCCAAATTCCTAGTCCACTCATTGATAATCTTTCCTTGTTGCATCAATGCCCAAGTATGCCAGGCACTGAGTGACTACTCGCATGTGTTAGTGATGGTGGCTTGCGAGGCTTCAGTATTGTCGCTGCAGATAGGGCTCACCCCCACACCAAAGCTGTTGGAGGTGTACCTTTCCATGGAATTGTTTGGTTGATCCCAATTTCCTAGAAACGCCAATATTCAGTTTGGTGTGCCTTGCGGCTGAAGTAGATTCATCAAGGAGGTCTCGTCTCTTTCCTGGGGGTAATACCATGTCAGCTGCTTTGCATGAGCCACTTGGAAACTGTTTGGACCGCTCTAAAGCACTTGTAATTGACCTTACCTGTTGTGTCCATGCTAATGCTGAAATGTAAAGTTCACTGAAGCAAGTTTTACTAATGAACCAAAACAATCAGTGGAAAGGATGAATGGCTTTATTTGTTTTCTCGAAGTAAACACTGTTTCATACATAATACATGATGCTGGCAATGCTACTTTCATTAGCAGACAACTTAGTCTACACTCTGTTTCACGATAGCTTGGTGAACTGTGGAGGCTACGGCTCCTGCGACCCAGTAAGAATGTCGGAGCGAGGCACATGGCAGCATGTCACAGGAGCGTCCGTGTCACCGCGCCAAATGCAAGGACCACCCACCAGAACCGGCTGTCAAATGCTCAGAAACCAAACGAATTCGGATGGACGTCCACTGCAGCAACATTAAGGCCTGTTCACACATGCAGCGGAGCGCTACAAGCATAGCGCTGACCTCGCGCTAAGCGCGTGATGACGGGAGCGTTCACCAGCTTTGTATCGCACCGTCGAAACTGTTGCTCATGGCAGACAATAAGTAGCTGACGGCACGTGAGGAGCGCTTCGCTGCATGTGAGAACCGGCCTTTACCGTCCGCTAGAGTAGCGAGGTCTTCAGTAACACTTTTATGAGGCAACCACATGCTCAATTTGCCCATGAATCTGTGGCGGGTGCTAATGCTAGGGCGATGTTTTGAGCGGAAGTGGTCGATTCACGGCTACAATTGTTTGAACGTCGATCACAAGCCATATTTTTCTCAAAAGTGTTGATCTATATTAAGTGTCGTTAATAAGTAACATATGTCTTAGTCTTTCTTCAGTGTCATGTAGTGTTGCGGTTCGAAGAATCTGACGGCAACACTACTAAAAGAAGAAGAGAAAAAAAAAAAAAGCCTAGAACTATGTTTTGTCGCAGATGGCGCTCTTGCTGTGGCGATAACGAGGACTCGACCGTGGAGTGTTGTCATGTGCCTGGCTCCGATGCTCTTATTGGGTCACAATGTTTGCCAAGTGACTGTGAAACGGAGTATAGTGTCTCACCTGTACACGCTATAAAACAAATGAGATGCCAGGTGTAGCCACTTTTGCAGCTGTAGCCCTTATATTATTGCTTGCTATGCTGTTTGGAAGAATACATAAAAAGATCAGCTTACAAAGCCAAGTCTAATTTTTTGCACTCTTGCATGTTACGAAAATAAAAGCATCACGCCTGAACACCAACATCTGTCTCTAAATTATTCCTTGCTGAAATTAAAAATAAATATACTGTGAATATGAACCAATACAATCTCAAACAGGTTTAAGAATGGATTCAATAAACAATTACTTCAATCTGCAAGCCTGAAATCAAGTATGCGTGTGCAATAAATACCCTGGTCTTTCGACTATCCCCGTTGACACTTGTTCTCGAAGGATAGGGACTTCGTCGATTTCACGGCACTTCAAGCATTGGTCAGGCAACATGCTCGTGTTTATAGTTTCGGCTGTGCTATAGGAATAACAAAGGAGAGTCGTGTATTGCCGAGTCAAAGCAGAACTCTCAGGTCTAAAAGGCTTCTTAAAAATGCACTAAAGCTGGTTTTGACTTTATAATTACATGACTCGAACATAAACTACTCACTTCACCAAGTCTAAGGATTCACAAATAATCTGTGAACATGTATTCTGCTTTTATCTTCATTCACTTATGAAACTGGTTGCGTATATAAAATATCCAATCAATCTTCCACACCTCCCCATTGCGAAAAGGAAGATTGAGATTCGTTGGCTTTTTTTTCTTGCCAAAAAACAGAAAAAGAAAAGGAATAGGTTTCAATGTGCACATTACGTTGAAGTGGGACAGTTACGGAAACAAATTTTGCATCTTCAAAGTTCATGAAGTAGGCAGATTACTTTCAAGTCATAAGAGAATAAAGTCAGAAACAACTTCAGCTCGCCTTCAATCAGATTTTCCCTTTAATCCAGGGACGTTTCACCTTCATAAGGTCATCAGTAGCAATTGGCATCCATTTAGGACTCTGTAATGGTAGATGTACAAGCTTGACCTCAAAGTCGCAGTGCCCTTCTTTCATGTGCTTGCAGTGCGACCCCCTCGTGCACTTGGTCCCAGACGGTGAAGCTGGTGCTGGACAGGATATCGTCCCCTGTAAAAGAGTCGTCCCAGTAGTCAAACGATCCGGCTACACCCTGAGCAGCGTATTTGTCCTCCCATGCCATTACCAACTTAAAATCAGTGAAAGCCTATTTTGAAGCAACAGAATGCATAAATGAACATGTCTATTCCATTCCCTTCGTACCGAACACCTGCCAGAATCCAAGGGATGCAAATCAAAATAAATAACATTGCATTATTTGCTCTTTTGAGACTCGAACTTAAACCAACTCAAACACTACCACAATTTTAAAGCTGGGAACTTCGAGGACACCTCTCCATATACTGAGATTACATGCTTGTCCCACTCCTGGCTAGTCCTCATCCTGGCTTGTCCTCAGCAGGGTTGGCCAGCGTGTTCTCATACTCCTGGGTTTTTAGTCTTGGAAGTTAAAGCTTTGGTTTTTGTCATTACTTGGTTGCTAGTAGATGCTGGAGGAAGCTCGTACTGTTACTTTGAAACATCAAGTTTACAAATTGAGCACTAACCCATATTGATGGCCAGATACAGAAGCTAGATTTGTCATGTCAAGGAGGTTGTCATAAAACAGTGGGCACGGGACTGAAATTAGCGGCGGAGCAGGCAACCGAGGCGCATTCGGGAGTATCGAAGAAGACAAGGTGTGTGAGTTTTGCGCGAAAGCAGGATGATCGGCCAGAGATGTGAGAATGTGGCGTCGAGAGAACTTCAACCGGGCTGACTTCATGACTGTTATCTGAGCCACATTAACCAGAAGAGAAGAGAGCTTAACAAGTGAACGACGCACTACGGCCGAGGAGGTAATTGACCAGGTTATTTCACCCAAGCACCACAGTAGTCATTTCAACGACAAAAAAAAAACGTCCAAACATCAGCACAGCAATACCAGAAGCGTGCCGAGGAATCGGGTTGTGTGTATATTTATACAGTCTCAAACTCGATCTGCCTCGATGGGCGGTGACTCTCCCAGCTGTAGATGACCGCTAGCCTGGGGCCCTTAACGTGCATCACGTAGTAGTGATACACGACCGCACGCCGGTACAATGCTCATCCAGATCGAAACGGGCAAATGTGGGGCTTGAACACACAATCCTGGGTTCTGCAGCGCGAGCTTTCACTCCACATTCTCCGAGCTGGTGCGTGGAAGCCCTCTCGGCCACCAATCCCCCGGTGCCAAGGAATAACATATAATAAATGACAACGGTACAGTCGTCTGCAACAGGTAGCTTTTCAGTGCCTTGAGCAACCAGGTTGAGATAATGTGACACTTTCCTGCCATATGTGGCTTGCAAAATAGAGATGTATAAGTCATAAAGCGAGTAATATGAATTTTTTTTTACTAAAGATATCAGCATTTGTATTTGGCTTCCACAACTTCTGAAAGCTACCTCTGAGTGCATAGATTGGTTTCTTCATAATCTTACCTATATGGAGAACTTCCCAGCTGGTAACGGGGCCGTGAAACGCAGACCCCCTGGAAGTCGCACAGGCGCCGAGGGCATTACACGGGGCCTGCAACATGTCCTCCGAGCCCGGCAGCCGGTGGATTCTGTTGGAATGATGGGGTAGGGGGAACACAAGCACTTGCAGATTAACGGACCTAAGAAAACCAGTAGGCAGGTACGAAAACATGCTACTCGCCCCCGCAGCGTTTGCCTCACTGGCGCTTTATGGTGAAACAAATCAGCGGCGAGCGACTGATGGAACACGCATCAGAAGAACAATGCGTCTTGAGTGGAACACCTTAGGACGGCGCTTTATAGCGCGCGTGAAGCGTTGGCTTAGCCAGGTTTTTTTGGAGTCCATGTCACATGAGCGAATGACATTTTAGTGAACAGCGACATTTGAGCGAATGGACGTTTTAGCGAATAACGGGGGCGCGCGTTAACCCATCCGCAGCGCTGCGCTTTCGCCGCTTCGCGGCGACAGTCTGCGGCGGATCATAACAAAAATGTGAACTCATTTGGCCCACCCGAAAACGCCGCTTTGCGGCGTCCGACTATTCGCTAAAGTGTCATTCGATGAAACGTGGGCGTTCGCTAAAACGTCATTCGATCAAGAGAGTGCCTCCCATCTGTCGCTGGGGGGAAAGACTAAAAACAGACGACTGCGCACTCGGCTCGGTCGTACCACACCGATCGCCTAATCCGCTGCTTTTCCGTAACATTCCGTTTTACTTTGCTATACTGGATGGATGGATGAATACGGCTGAGCCCTTTGGATCGGGCGGTAGCTTACGCCACCTAGCCATTTTGTTTTACCATTTAAGCTTAGAATATTTAAATGTGAAATCTATATTCACTCCGCAGTGCAAAGAAAGTGAGGCTATGAAACCCCCTTGCCATCAGTGGATAAGAAAATACCTAGTTTTCTCTCGATTTCTGCCACCATTCACTTAATCTTTGCTTGGTAATCTCTACAGTCTTGAAATCCACTCTCCCTTCGCTGTCTCTAAAACCCAATGACTTTATTAAATCTATGTTGTCTTCGGTAGGCATAGGGTGAAGCCCTTTACAGTAGAGTATCAAGTGCTCAGCCGTCTCGTCCTCCTCTCCACAAGCAGTGCACACTGTATCAATTTCCTGGTACTTCACTCTGTATGTTCTGGTTCGCAGAACACCCGTTCTTGCCTCAAACAGCAATGAGCTTCCCCTAGAATTGTCATAAATGCTTTCTTTGGCAATAACTCTTTTGTTTAATCTATAGCTTTCCAGAGCCGTCTTTGTCTGCATTCCCTCTAGCCACCAATCTCTTTCTGTGGCCTTAACTTTCTTCTTAACTGAGACTTGCTCTTCCGTATCTTCGCTATAGCCCAAAAACTTTCCTCTTAATTTCCTAGTGCGCTGTCTCCACTTTGTGTCTACACTCCTCATGTATAAATAGCTGAAAACCTTTCGTGCCCATTGCTCCCCGTCCATTTGCCTCAACCTATCCTCAAATTCTACCTTGCTCACCGCTTCCCTGCTCTCAAATGATGCCCATCCCATGTCTCCTTGTACTCCCTGGTTTGGCGTTTTGCAATGTGCCCCCAAAGCCAGTCTACCTACTCCGCGCTGTTTTATTTCTAGTCTCGCATGCACTTCGGATTTCATGCATAGCACTGCGTTTCCAAAAGTCAAGCCAGGCACCATGACCCCTTTCCAAATCTCTCTCACCACCTCATACCTGTTGTAATTCCAAAGTGCTCTATTTTTCATTACAGCTGCATTTCTGTTGCCCTTACCTATTATATACTTTTCATGGTCTCTGAGATATTCTGCACCATCACATATCCATACTCCTAGATACTTGTATTTACTAGCTCTCTCAACTGTAATATTCTGTATCTTCAGCCTCTCAACTTCATCCTCGTTAAAAATCATGACTGCCGATTTTTCGCTACTGAATTCTAAACCTAATTCCTCTCCTTCCCTACCACAGATGCTCATTAATTCCTGCAACTCTGTCCTGTTGTTAGCCATTAGTACAATATCATCCGCATACATCAATCCCGGTAAGGATTGCTGAATTTTTTGGCCTAGCTTACTGTATACTCCTTTCACGTGCAACTGAACTGTTTGTGAATGATGCGAAGTGTACAGAGACGACGTAACTCACCTTAGCGAGCGCCATGGGGCGGTTCTCCGGGTGCCAGCGCTGCGGGAGATCGGCCTTCGAAAGCTCGGCAGCCCGTTCAGCTCGCCGAAGAGGGCTGTAGCTACACTTCGATGCTTCACGGAGACACCGAGTCACTTGCTGGCGAAAAAGGGTCTCCGCCAAAAAGTAGAAAGGCTCACTCGCGTCGCACATCACCGTGCTGACGTTGGGGGGACTCACATCAACATCCGACCGCCGGAGACCGGGACGCATATTGGTGCTTCGTATGCTCCCAGGGTAAATTCTTTCGCGTCAAACGAAGTAACGTACATTTCGAGGTATTTCCGGTCTCTTTTTTCCGTATGCCGCGTCCTCGTTCAAGCAGTAGCAGTGGATTTCTAAGAGCCACAGAAAAGGCCTTCCGCAATGGCTGCGGAGAAGAGACGACACCGCTTTGTTTACCCCCGAGCTCCCGCCCGGAGCCATCCTCCAATCAGAGCGCGGCGAGGTGACGTCACGCCACCGGCCTGCGCGAAAGAGCAGACGGCTTTCCCTCCGTATATTCACTCCGCAGTGCAAAGAAAGTGAGGCTATGAAATCCCCTTGCCATCAGTGAATAAAAAAATACCTAGTTTTCTCTCGATTTCTGCCACCATTCACTTAATCTTTGCTTGGTAATCTCTACAGTCTTGAAATTCACCCTCCCTTCGCTGTCTCTAAAACCCAATGACTTTATTAAATCTATGTTGTCTTCGGTAGGCATAGGGTGAAGCCCTTTACAGTAGAGTATCAAGTGCTCAGCCGCCTCGTCCTCCTCTCCACAAGCAGTGCACACTGTATCAATTTCCTGGTACTTCACTCTGTATGTTCTGGTTCGCAGAACACCCGTTCTTGCCTCAAACAGCAATGAGCTTCCCCTAGAATTGTCATAAATGCTTTCTTTGGCAATAACTCTTTTGTTTAATCTATACCGGGTGAAACAAGGAGACGGTAGGCTCTTTAAATCGACCGGAAAATTCGGTTTCTTAACCTATCACGCTATATCTTTGTGCAGCGTTGCCCACAGATGGTGCATTTTTTTCGTAAAATTTGCAAAGAGCGAACTTACCTGAGGAAAAAGTAAAGAAAGAAAAAGGCTTAGCTCCTATGGAAACGCAGCGACGCCACCGGTCTGCAATCAACACGGCGCCGTTTCGCACGGTGGACAAGAGATGGCGCAAGCGGTCGCGACGCCAACTGCCGCCAACGAACGAGCAGACGACGCCGAGAACCGGCGTTTTTAGCAGACAAGGAACTGCAGTTGCTTGTTGTTACCGCGCCTGTTTTTGTTTCTGCAACTGTCGCCGTTTGCGGAACGCGCGCCGCTTTTGATTCGAAAAGATTGTCTGCTAAAAACGCTGGCTCTCGGCGCCGTGTGCTCATTCGTTGGCGGCGTTCGTTGCGCCATCTCTTGTCTACCGTGCAAAACGGCGCCGTGTTGATTGCAGACCGGTGGCGTCGCTGAGTTTCCATAGGAGCTAAGCCTTTTTCTTTCTTTACTTTTTCCTCAGGTAAGTTCGCTCTTTGCAAATTTTACGAAAAAAATGCACCATCTGTGGGCGACGCTGCACAAAGTCGTAGCGCGATAGGTTAGGAAACCGAATTTTCCGGTCGATTTAAAGAGCCTACCGTCTCCTTGTTTCACCCGGTAGCTTTCCAGAGCCGTCTTTGTCTGCATTCCCTCTAGCAGCCGATCTCTTGCTGTGGCCTTAACTTTCTTCTTAACTGAGACTTGCTCTTCCGTATCTTCGCTATAGCCCAAAATCTTTCCTCTTAATTTCCTAGTGCGCTGTCTCCACTTTGTGTCTACACTCCTCATGTATAAATATCTGAAAACCTTTCGTGCCCATTTCTCCCCGTCCATTTGCCTCAACCTATCCTCAAATTCTAACTTGCTCACCGCTTCCCTGCTCTCAAATGATGCCCATCCCATGTCTCCTTGTACTCCCTGGTTTGGCGTTTTGCAATGTGTCCCCAAAGCCAGTCTACCTACTCCGCGCTGTTTTATTTCTAGTCTCGCATGCACTTCGGATTTCATGCATAAGCACTGCGTTTCCAAAAGTCAAGCCAGGCACCATGGCGGCATGGCGCCCTCAAGCGGTCGCCACGGTCGCCACGACAGTGGTCGCCACGAGTGGCGCGCCGACGGCCCGATGGCCCGATCCGGACCGTGATCCGGACAGCTTCTCGAGGGCGTTTGATTTGAAAGTCAACAGGCAACCAACGCAACCGCCAACCGCCGCCCCGCCCTGCCCGCGCCCCCGCGCCGCGCGCACTGCCAGTCAACGTTGTACGAAGTTCTGTTTACGGCAACTCTTCTAGGGCTGTACGGTACGCAGGGTATGAAGTACTACTGGTACTACCAGTACTATTTTGAAATTTCAACGCTCCAACCAAGCGATCATGGAAGCACTACGCGCAGAGCTACGTTCACTAACATTCAGCTGCCTAAAGCCGGAAATGGGAAATTGGACGTGGTCCGACGCAGACGTTCTAACCAAGTATCTGCAGCCTTGGGTCACCTACAAGCCCCCAGATGATACCACCAAGGCATTCGTATACAAGGAATATCTGTGTGCGGTCCTCGGACAGTATTCACCTAGCTCAAATTTACGTGAGCTGTTGGTCAAGACCATCCTTTTAATGCCCGATCCTGACTCTAGCACAGGATACCTTTTCCCAACAGTCTTCTCGGATACTGCTACCACCCCTTTCTACACCATCCCAGCTGGAGGGGAAAAGGCAACCGACGCCCTTTTGAAACGAGCAGTTGACACGTACATGGAGGTCTGGACGCCTCCTCCCTCTGCGCCCAAAGATCTCCACAAGCGAAAAGACAAGCGGGCAGTGAAGTGCATTGTGACAGGTGGACCCCCGGGACAGCAGGCAGGTGCACCTGAACTCGATCCAGCAGAGTGTGCCACGGTGGACGATCAGGCAACAGTCTCCACCTCGACCCAGCAAGTTACGGCACAAGCCCGTGCCGCAGCTAAGGCAAAAAAGGAAATCCAAACCCTCGTTGATAAAATCAGTAAGAATAACCCTCCCACGACAGCTACACGGTCAGCACAAAAGATGCTGTCCTTTATGGCTCTAGTGTGCTCCAGACTTTGTGTGAAAACCGTTGACCAGGTAACTCTCTATTTTCAAATGAAAGCCTCCAGCGCCTTCAGAGGCACCTGCAAACCCTCTGCACTGGCCATCAAGGTCCCAGTCCCCGAGAGAAATTTCCTAAAGAAGCTGGAAACATTCTTTGTAAAAGGCTGCCCCGAGCAAAGAAGAATCCACGAGTACCTCGTTGGAGCCCTCATGTTTTACACCGATGTTGGCCTTCAAGAAGGGGAGGCGTCACGTCGAACAAAGCATAAAGTGGGCATTCTCAGTGCAGGATGCCTGACTCAATTGTCTGGAAATGGGCTTGGGTTTGTGACACTTTTGCTTGCTGCCTCCAAGGCCACAGGAGCAGACCCGAAGTGCCTGCTAGAATCTGCCACTTTTACGGCTGTGGCTGGCAGTGGACAACTCCTCATGGACTTTCTTCTAAGATATCATGCGGAGAAGCCAGAGTACTCCTGGCAATGGTCTCGACTCGTCAATGACAACAACTTCAGGAGCCTCTCACTTAGAGATAATCGTTGGCTCGGTTCGCGGTTTGCCGCACTCTTGGAAGTTACGCAAGGTGATGAACGGATTTGGAAGAAACATGCCCTATGTTGTGGCCCTTATATGAGAGAACAAGCCATGGAGTGGGTTCGAAAATTCCTTCAGCACTGCGAGTCAGTGAGGGGGCAACAGAAGAACCCTTCCAGAAGGTTGTGAACACTCGACCCAGATGGTGTCCAACTATTGCGCTCCAGGGAGCTTCACGACCAGATCCCATCCCCTGTTGCACCTCTAAAACTCCAGATTGGATCAGCCCCTTTCTTGAGGGCCTTGACGACTAGTGCTGACCAAAAGCGACGGAGACACTGCAACCCAATCATCGTCATGAAAATGCCCAGCCCAGAACAAACTCGCCAATGCTGATGATATTCTTTTCCTTTTATTAAAAATGATCTCTCCATTGTCTCTGTGCTTTTTTAGGGGGCTTTGTTAAAGTCCTTTCATGGCTGTGAACAAGACAGTTCTGCCTTATTGCAGCCAAAAGTGGATTGATCGTTAAACCTCTCTTGCAGTTTCTGTCCCAAGGTCCATGGGCGTACCAACTGGGGGGGGGGGGAAGCAAAGGGGGTGCTTTCTTCCCCAGTTCTCAAAGTGGGGGGGCAAGGCATGTGTTTTGTCCCCCCCTGAAAAAGCCGCCACTGGGCAGGGAAAACACTGGCCGGCGGTGCCCAAAGGATGCCAAGGGCCCTGCCCCCCGGCCCTGGAAGGGGGGGGGGGGGGGGGGGGGGGGGGGGGGGGCCTAGTTTGACCTCCTACTCAACAAGTTGGTATGCCACTGCCAAGGTTCTCCCTCCCCGCTCGAGCAGGCAGTATCCCAAAATTTGCTCATGCAGACGACCTCGTGATGATGTTGAAGGACAAGGCACCTTTTGGCTGAGATCCTTGCCTCCACCGACAGGTGTGCTGTGCAGCAAGTGGGGCAGCTGGGACCTGCGCCTAAACCGTGTCGGAACTTATTTTTTTTTTTTTTTATATGAAAGGTTCCCTCCACAGTGGCCATTCCGCAGATTTGTTGAAAAAAATTACATAGCAAATTGCTGTAAAATTGTGTTGCAAGTGAAACATGCGATGTCTACGCTCTAGGCGCTCTTTATCTGTTAGTTTAACAGCTGGCTTAATCCTTGGCATGTACTCTATAGCCATTTCTAGAATGGAGTTTTAGAAATGTGTGACAGGGTGTCCAGTTGCTATCTGCCGGACGCAGAACAGACGCCCCGCAGGGCTTTCCCGTCAAATGGCACCTCGAAGCAATGTGCTGGAAAGACAATCGCTTAATATAAATGGTCTGGGTTCGATTGCTGCCTGGCTAAAACACTTTTTTTACTGCAATGGCCTCTCCCCCTCCCCACTCAAAACCAATCGGTGTACAGCAGGGCCGTACCCAGAAAAAAATTTCGGGGGGGGGGGGGGGGGGGTTTTCGGGGACAACGGCGGCCATTTTGAAAGTGTCTATTGTCTTATTTTCGCCTATGAATCATGTGCATCGGTGGCATATAATGGAGAGTTACAACAAACCGGAGAAACGGTCCCGGTTTGGTACCCGGTAGCCGACCGGCGCCACTGCACGTGCGCAGAGGTGGAGATTAAAATCGACTGGCCGCCAGTGCACCGACCAGGGCCGTACCCAGAAAAAAATTTTGGGGGGGGGTCAGAACCCCCTAACCCCCCCCCCCCCCCCCCCCCCCCCCTGGTTACGGCCCTGGTGTACAGCCTCGCGCCATGCTTTTATTCGCGCTTCAGTTTTAGGCTTCACAAAATGGCGAACACCTTGCCAAAGAATGTTTCACATTAATAATGGAAGCTTTTCGGCTATTATTTC